TCTATGTTCGAGTTGTCAAGAGGGGTATGTCGCAACAACACAAAACGAAATACTTGTTGTGAAAAAGAGATTCCCGACTGCACACGTTATTTCAATGGGAGATGTATACAATGTTCGAATAAAAGTGCTCTATATAATAACACGTGTATAAAAAGAGAAGAAAATTGTCAAACGGAATCCCCGAATGGTTTATGTATAAGATGTTCTGACGGCTATTTTTTGAATAACATTTTCTGTGAAAAATGCAATGATACGTGCTCCACGTGTCTGGATCGCAACACCTGTTTATCGTGTATCAATTCCTCATTCTATATAAGTCGTAATGTGTGTAAGTCGCAAGAAGATTTGGTTAATACGTGTGTGCAGTATAACGTGAATGGCGGATGTTTCATGTGTGCTGATGGGTATTATACACACGAGAAGAGTTGTGACGAATGCAGTGACGAGTGTCTGACGTGTTTTTTGAGTTCTACTCAGTGCACACGATGTTCGCAAAACTACTACAAAAACGTCTCTGGTGTTTGTAAGCCCAAAAGTGACATCATTGGCTGTTCTGTCCCAATCACTGAAAATGGCTGTTCGAAGTGTCTCGACGGCTTTTATAACAAACAAAATGAGTGTTTTCTATGCAACGAGACGTGTCTGACGTGTCGGGATGACTCAACCTGCACGTCTTGCACCAATAACAAAATTTTCAAAAATGAAAAATGTTATTCATCTGCTGACGTGGCACATTGTCGAAAAGTCAACAACTCAAAATGCGTTGCATGCGAAGATGACTGGGTGCCCAGTCAAGATGGGAAGTACTGTGCGGAACGGAAGACGTGGTGGATCTGTGTGACATTTTCCATATGTATAGTTTTATTTATTATACTGATACTATTATTTATTGTAGTGATGAGTAAAGTCATGATGATTCGGAGATTTAAGAACACTCAAAAGAAACTGAACGCCGTCTTTGAAATCACGAAAGGAACTCATTTTGAGAAGAAAATGGAATACAACGTGTGCGCGTCGAAAGCGACTTTGACGTTTTCGAAGCACTTTGAAGTATTGGAAAGTTCAGAGGACCAAGCGATTAAAGTCCTTGAGAAGTCGTCATTGAGTTTTGTAGTGGCGAACAAAGGAAAGAAGACGGTCCGCGTTGAAATAGTCTCACCGAAGAGTTTGAAGTACACGATGACGGTAACACCGAAGTTGTTGTTACTACGAAAGAATGAGGGGACGACTGTGAGTGTTTCTGTAATACCAAAATGCACGACGAAAGTGGAGGGGAAGCTCAATCTCATAATTAATCTATTAGAACTGAATAAGAAGGCGATTGATGAGATTGGATTTTCGTTTGAAACGGAGATCTCGAATAAACTTGATTATGATGATATTGTAATAGAGAAGAAGATTGGGGAAGGAGCGTTTGGAGTTGTATATAAGGGAGTGTATAGACGTAACATTGTTGCTGTCAAACAAGTCAAAGAACAACATCACTCCTATGAAGTATTTAAGGACTTTGAGAAGGAAGTGAGTATGTTGGATAAGTTCAGAAGTGATTATATAGTCCACTTCTATGGGGCGGTCTTCATACCAAAACAACTGTGTATGGTCACTGAATACGCCACGTGTGGGAGTTTGAAAAGAGTTATGGAGACGTATACGTGGCAACAAGTGTCTTTGAAACTGAAAATTAAGATGATGTTGGACTGCTCGTTGGGAATATCATATCTCCACAATAACGGAATACTGCATAGAGATATTAAACCAGATAACGTCCTCGTGTTCTCTTTTGAAGACTTCGACGACAGCAAAACGCCAAACGCGAAGTTAAGCGACTTTGGTTCGTCAAGGAATTTCAACCAGATGATGACGAACATGACATTCACAAAAGGAATCGGGTCACCAGTTTATATGGCGCCAGAGATGTTAAGTCAACAACATTACAAGAAGCAAGCAGATATATACTCCTTTGCAATCACAATGTACGAGACCTTTTCGTGGGAGGACGCATACAAGGGCGATGCGTTTGAGTACATGTGGTCAATTGCGTCGTTCGTGATGGACGGGAAAAGGCTTGAAAAGCACAAAAGAATGACGGACGAGATCTTCAATGTGATACAAAAGTGTTGGGACCAAGACAAGAATAAGAGGCTGACAATTGACCAACTCGTGGAGACATTGCACAAACTATACTTTAAGTCGTAATCCGAGCCTTAAACATGCAACCATTCCACATCTTCAATCTCGTTGAACTCAGTGACAAAATGACAATACGAAACTATTCAAATTAAAAATGAAGAAACAATTGTAATTTATAGTATTTTTATTTATTTTTGATTACTTAATTATATTTATAATAAAAACAATTAAAATTATAATATTATAGTTTTTTTGATAAAAATATAATTTAGTTATAATTTATTTTTAATAAATTTATAATTCATGTTACAAGTAATTAATAATATATTATAATATAAAATATTATATTATAAAAAAAAGAGATACCATAATTTATAGTAAAATAATTATCAACAATAGATATTTTTTGGGAGATTTGATATGGTAGAAACAAAGAGCAGAAGAAGGAATAAAAAAAGGGAATTGGATGTGGAATGAACCAAGAAGGAAGAGGTTGTTTCTTTGCGGACCAAAGTGATGAAGATACTGAAAATAAACTTGGCTTAATGAAAGCATTATTTTTTTTGTGGATTATTTTTGTCCACTTATTTGGGCTTGGTTTAA